CTGCAGTGGCCTCTGGGCAGTCCTCGCTAGTACTTTTCAGTTGGAGCTAAAGAGGACGACGTCCCTGTAGTATCAATCACCCCAATTACCTTAATCACGCTCCCGATGTGGTTCTGTTGAATCAACAGATCCGTTAGCTCTGCAGTGTTCACGGGAGCTTTTAGGAAAAGCTTAAAGGAGAAAAAAATATTTCAAATTAAAATCAAAGCACAATGTCTAGTAACACATTGATTCTGTTATCTAAACAAAAGCAATAAGATGTAATAACCTGATCGAGATGGCTGAGAAAAGTAACCCCAGGAAGAAAACAAAAACCCAGAGTGGAAGAAATTTCAGAAAAGACACAGCCAACAGTGGTCAGAAAACAGGCATGGAGGGAAGATAAACACGGGCCATTTTATCGGAGGTAAAGGCAGAGTACAGGGAGCAATGTGGATTCTGCAGCACCAGCAGGTGCAGTTATGTGGCTATCATATAAGGACCGATGCCCTGCTTCTGAGCTGCTGATGCTATGTGAGGCTGGCCTTGGGCCCTTATATTACCCTCTTTCTCGGCAATGGTGGACAGCATCCCCTCTGAACTGTAAACCGAACGCTTCCTCCCTAGTTTGGATGTGAGCTACAGGAGAGAGACTAGCGGTGTCTCAGGCAGTAAGCACGTGAAAAGGAAAGCATTCCAGGACATGGCAAACTTGAACACAGTAACCGGGGCGGGGCAGAGCGAAGGGGCACAGAATCATTCACCCTAGAAAAGGGGAGATTCCTTTGGCAAAGAGCAGAAGACAGGTGTGGGGTTCTGGAAAGGCCGTACCTGTTGCAGTAATTTCTTAATTCCGCCATAATCGTTATCTGAGATGGAGTAAGCTTCAAATTCAATATTCACTTCCTGTAAAGAGATCATCACAGATTCAGAAATGATGCAGGCAGCATTTCCATTTTGCAAATTTTTCTTTTCCCTCAGTTTCCATTCTTTTAGAGCTCTTCTCCACCTACAGAAAATGCCTCAGAGAGGTGGGGTGGAGAAAACATGACACGTTAGTCTAATGTGGCGGTGCAAACCAGCAACTTGGGAGATAGAGGAAGGATGATCAATACTCTGAGACCAGCCCAGGCTACATAGCAAGACGTTGTTTCAAACCAGGGAAGGGAGGAGGGAAGGTTACCTAAATAACTATCAATGTCAGGCTTCGACACAAGCAAACCTGAAACCAGGAGGGTGCTACAGGTCTGCAATGCCAACCAGCAGGTTCGGGGAGGGACGGAAGAACATCTCAATTTAGAGGTTGTCCTGGTTTTCACAGGGAGACTCTCAAAGAAAAAAGAAAAGTTAAAAAAAAAAAAAAAGGTAAATACTTCCAGGCTTGCCACCTGTACAGATTACAAAGGCCATTCACACCATTTCCTCATGTGATGCAAAGCCTGAGGGAACAAAACACGGTGATAAATGTGTCCTCTCAGGCAGCCACAAAGAGGGAATCAAATGATTCTTCACCTGGCTTCAAAAAGCACCTGTAATACAAGCTCACTTCAAGTGTACAGAATGACCGAAGTTTAATTTGCCCATAGATGTGAAGCTGTACTTTGTTCACTTAGCAAACATTTACCAAGTAACAGCAGGTACCAAGCACTTGAGAAGAAATGGGGAAGCCACGCCTTGTGGCACAGGCCTGTGATCTCAGCACTTGACATTTACACATGAGGCCATGGCACATACACATAAATGTAATTGAATATATATGTACATAGACATGTATATATATTTTTAAAAAGATACACTGTGCTGTTATAGCTTAAAACTAGGAAATCAGAAAGTCAAGGAGGGTGAAGCAGGGAGATGGGGAGTTCAAGGTAAAGTTGGGTTACAATGTGAGTTCAAGGCCAAACAAGTGAGTAGCAAGACTGTGCCTCTAAGTAAATAAATGCTCAGGAGATGAACTGGTGAGCAAGGCAGATGCGATGGCTGCTGCTCTGGAGCAGACACAGGAGACAGAAAACGAGTCTCAAGAACTGTATGTGCCATTCAAAAGGCGGGAGCAGGCTGGAGAGAGTGCAGCAAGCAGGTAAAGGCAGTTACTGCCAAGCCTGACTACGTGAGTCCCTGGACTAAGATGGTGATGGTGGGAAGACAGAACTGCGCGCTGCAAATTGCCTTCTGACTTCCACACCTGCACTGTGGCATATGAGTGTGTGTATGCACGCACAAACACGGGAGGGGGGTCATAAATGAATTTGTAAAAGAAGATAGGGATGATGGTAAGACAGCTCAGGGGTAAAGGCACTGCCACCGAGCCTGACGACCAGAGTTTCTTCCTCGTGACCCACGTGGTAGAATGAGACAACCAACTCCTACAGCACCCCCTGACATTTACACACAAGGCTATGGCACATACACATACAAATAAATGTAACTGAATATATATGTATATAGACATGTATATATTTTTTTTAAAAGATACACTGTGCTGTTATAGCTTAAAACCAGGAAATCAGAAAGTCGAGAAAAGCTTGCTTTAAAAAGGTGGCATGAACTAAGAATAGGGGAGGAGGTTTCCTGGTATGGGGAAGAGCAATACAAGCCCCTAAGGCAGGAGAAATTATGGTGAATTGAAGAGGCTAGAAAAAGGCACATGTCCCCAGCCGCCTAACTTCTTTAGTAAGCAGCTAGCAACAGAATTCAAGAGAAAAAGCCAGCTACCTCTATAGGACCTGAACTATGTGCGTTCCTTTATTCCTGATATACCACTGTTTAAAAAAAAAAAAAAAGATTTGAGCTAGGTGGTGCATGCTTTTAATCCCAGCACTTGGGAGGCAGAAGTAGGTGAATCTCTGTTCAAGGCCAGCCTGGTATACAGAGCAAGTGCCAGGACGGGCTCCAAAAAGCTACACAGAGAAACCCTGTCTCAAAAAACAAAAACAACAACAAAAAGATTTGAAATTGATTCTGATCTTCCAAGATAATTTTCATGGTCTTTTACATCAGAGAAATAAATTGTGGGTTAATAAATGTATCAGAAAATGAAAACCTTCTTCAATTAAATAAAGAAAATCCAGCAGGGCGGTGGTGGTGTATGCCTTTAATCCCAGCACTCGGGAGGATCTCTGTGAGTTCAAGACCAGCCTGGTCTATAAGAGCTAGTTCCAGGACAGGCTCTACAGAGAAACCTTGTCTCGAAAAACAAAGAAAGAAAGAAAGAAAAGAAAGAAAGAAAGAAAGAAAGAAAGAAAGAAAGAAAGGAAGGAAGGAAGAAAGAAAGAAAACCCACTAAGAATTTCAAAATGGAGACCTGCCCTAAAAGCTCTCTCAACAACTACTTCTGTCGGGCTGGAGGGATGGCTCAGAAATTAAGAGAATTGGCTGCTCTTCCAGAGGACCCAGGTTCGAATCTCAGCATCTACATGGAGACCAACAAACATCTGTAACTCCAACCCAAGGGATCCGATGCCTTGTATGGCCTCTGTGGGCACAGCATACATGTGGTACATGTATATGCAGGCAAAACACACACTCACACACACAAAAGGAATTTAAAGGCATATGTGAGGGGACCCCTAAGGTCCAAGTGAGAAAGCCTTTCCTAGCCTTAGCGTCATACACCTGTTCTCAAAGCACACACACAAGCTGATGGATCCCTGCCCCCCCCACTCCCGTTGTTTCTTTTTTCCTCCACATAACTATACATACACATTTCCCCTTAACTTGCTCTGCAGTCTCACTTGTAAAACAGTGATAATTCCTAAGTTCATGGTGCTGAAGTGAGAACTAAATGAGTTAATACAAAATGCAGACCCTGGTATATCAGGAATAAAGGAACGCACATAGTTCAGGTCCTATAGAGCCTAACTTCAAGGGGGTATGTTTAATACTGTTGTTATTATCACTGTCAATTTCTAGAGAGTAAATTATTGAGCCAGGAGTTAGAGGCACTTTAAATTTTGATAAATCCTGTCAGATTATCCGCCAAAGAGATCGTGCAGATTTATACTCCCACCAACAGGGTGTGCAAGTGCTTATATTGATACACTATTATCCTTTCTGTTGGCATTCTCTCTGTGTCTATGATAAACAGCTCGACCAAAAGCAACCCGGGAAGGAAAGGGTTTCTTTTATCTTACACTTCCAGGTAATTGTTCCTCATGGCGGGAAGTTTGGACAGGCGCTCAAGGCCCGAACTGAAGAGACCACGGTTCACAGGCTTGTTTATACCACCCAAGACATCTCACAGTGGGCACGTCCATCATTAATTAAGCAAATACCCACAGACAAGCACATGGGTCACTGTGGTGGAGGCAATTCCTCATCTGAGGTTCCCTTCTCCCACAGTTTATGATTACAGTACACACGGTTTTGGCCATTGGCCGTCAATGTTATAGATTTTCCATGTTAATGAAAGAAGCACAAGTGTGGAGAGAGACGGGGAGGGGGGGGTGTAGGCTCAAGGCGGGTGGTGGATAAGTCAGCCGGGAAGGACTGCAGGGAATAATGTGTAGAAAAGCCTGAAGTAAGAACGTGCCACGTCCGGTTCAGCTCCTGAATCACAGCGACAGGAAATCACAACTCCCCACAACCACTGTCACTTTCCCACGGCTTCGGTTGCCTGAATGTTTTTCCCCCACTCAGATCTATGAATCTACACCAAAAACATGGTCACGTGTGCCTCACCTCGTCCACGATCTCGTCTTCATCCTCTTCTTCCTCACTGTCTTCATCGTCGTCATCGTCTTCTTCCTCATCTTCCACCTCATCCTCTTCTTCCTCCTCCTGGTGACCCTGCACTCCCAGCTGCTGAACCCCGTTTCCCACCGCTCGCTTCTTAGCTCGGGAAGCCATGACGCCGGCCACACTGCGCCTGCGCAAGTCCCGCCTCTTTCCTTCCGGACTCTGTCTTCCGGACTAGAGGTAGACAGGACCAAGAAGTTCGCGGGGGAATCGGTGCGACATGGAGAGCGGCGCGGATAAGTCCCACAGGACTAATCTGCTCGTTTGTCCTCCCCACTGGGGTCATGGTCAGAACTCCTCTTCTTCCCTCCATCCTCCCGCCCTCCTCATTCGCTCCGGATCTCCCCCTTGTGCGCAGTGGTTTGGCCCATCCTTCTGCGTCCCTTCCGCCGGCGCCTGGAGGCCGGTGCGCGTGCACAGCCAGATGTGGGCGGGTGCCCCCACGCGCCTGAGGTACGAGCGCGGGGACAGCTGGCTGCGGGGTGAGGGGCGGCTCCCGGTTGTCTGTGCTTAGCTGCCTCGGCTGGGACCGCGAGGTTCTTGCCCCGCGGCGTGCAGCTCGGTCCTGCCTCTTAGCCCGTGAGGTGGGTGTCGGGCCCAGGACCCGACTAGGACTCAGGCCCGTGGACGTGCACGCAGGCCCTAGAGATCCGTGACACCGCGGGGCAGGGACCCGGTGCAGCTGCCAACTAGGGGCTGACCGGCACCGGTGGAGTCCGCTCCATAAGGCCCGCTGATCCTGTCAGGGGCCGATCCCGCGCCATCGCCATAAAAAAGTCCTAAGAAGACAAGAGGTCTTTTGCTGCCACGGGCCAACGGTGTCTTTAAAAGACTTGTTTGGTAAGAATAGAACAGAAAGAAAGGGATTGCGGCAAGTTAGCGAGTGTACCCCTCCTCTGCCACTGCTTGTGGCTAAATGAATTACTGGTCCAACGTTTCAGAGTTCAACAGAAGCCAGATTTTTTGCAAGGAATATCCTGACGGTTAAAACTTGTATCAGATAAATCAGGTCTTCGGTCAGGGTTATCACACAGTCGACCGATTTTCAGCTCCTTGTAAAGGTTATCGAGAAAGATCACTAACTAGGGAAAACATTTGCTTCCTGGCAAGAAGCTCTGTGGTTCTTCCTTTCCTCTGTAAAATAACGGCAGCATATGAGACTCCCAAACCAGAGTGAGCTGCCCCTAAGGAAGCCTTTGCCAGAGAAATTCAGGGACTCTAAATAACCCCAGTGGTCCTTCATCGGGAGGAGATATCAGGATACCAAGGCCCCCATTAACCCTGAGTCCCCATGATGGTAGTATGTGAGATTCAGGTGTCCCGGGCTTTTGTGTCTACTGGGCTATATCGTGGATAGTAATGACACTCGGACTCCATCTCTGATAGAGTGATTTAAAATGACTGCCTTGGGTTTTGTAACTGTCCAAACGCATGTTCCTTTAATGAGTACCTATCACAAGCTAATAATAGAAAAAAGGATTTAAAGCATGTCCATAGAATTGCATAGAAACTCAAGAACAATTTCTCCCAAGTCTTAATGGGTTTTTTTTTGTTATGGTAAAATATGCATAACAAAATTGAACACTTAAGCACATAGTTGTTGGCCTAAGTTTATCCATACTGTTTCACAGCCATCACCACAGTTCCCCAGGTTCAGGATGTGAGATGACCTAGTGGGTAAAATGCTTGATGTGCCTGCATTTCCCAGCACCCACATACTGTAGCTGTAACCCCAGTACTGGGATGATGGGCAGGATGGAGACAGGTGGATCCAAGACTCACTGGCCAACTAATCAGTGAGCTTCTGGCTGGAGAGAGACCTGCTCTCAAAAAATGAGCTTACGGAGCAGAAGAGTGATAGAAGACAGCACTCATCATCAGCAGGTACCCGTGCACACGCAGAAAAAACAAACAAAACAACAGCTCCCCAGTATCATTTTCTGCAGCCCCCTGGATTGCATCACAAGGTGGAAAAAGGGAAAGGCTCTCCTTGTGCCCTCAGATCGATCAGTCCCTAATCTGGAGCCTGTGGTCAGGACATGCATTAGAGTAGCACCTGTCGCTAGGTGGCCTCCCTGCGCACTGACAACGACAACGTTGGCTCCCTCGTTCCTCCTTAGCACAGGATTTGTCCTAAAGGTCAGCTGGTAGCTTGTTAGGTGGATGAGCCCTGGGCTTCAGATCTGGCTTCTGGTTCTATCTCTACCGTTTATTCTGCTGACCTTGGGCAGATTAAGAGCCATGGTTTCCCTTCCTGTAAAATGAGGATTATAGCTGCTTTGCAGGCTTCAGTGAGGATTGTAAATGCTTAGTCCACTCTGACAATTTGATCTGTCAGTTTGGACTGTGAGATGCCCGAATAGCTGCTCTTCTGCGTGTCTAGTGCTCAGCAAGTTTTGTGAACAGGCATTCTCTGAGATAAAGGGTTTGCTGAGCCATATGTGCGCTAGCCAGAAAGGACCAGGGCCTAGGACGCATTTTGTAATTACCAGCATTTAATTAAAAAAGACAGCCAAGAGCACGTTTATGACGAAAAAGTGAGAAAGAAAAGCAAATTGTGTACATGGAACTAGCAGTGGTAATGAGCATTAGGAATAGCACAATGAAGTCAGACACGGGACCATTTGTGCGTGGAGGGCAGTCTGTAATAAGCGCTTGCCGCTTCTGGAGTCCAGGCTGGGGTTAGTCCACAAAGTTTTTTTTTTTTAATATTTATTTATTTATTTATTTATTTATTTATTTATTTATTTATTATGTGTACAGTATTCTGTCTGCTTGTATGCCTACAGGCCAGAAGAGGGCACCATACATCATTACAGATGGTTGTGAGCCACCATGTGGTTGCTGGGAATTGAACTCTGGACCTTTGGAAGAGCAGGCAGTGCTCTTAACCAATGAGCCATCTCTCCAGCCCCTAGTCCACAGTTTTATGGGTAAATTGGAGCTGGTGGCCTTTCAGACACTGGCTTTTTTGAAGTTTTCCTTCTTAGCCTTGTTTGTTCGCGCTGTAGAAAAACACCTTAAATTTACTCAGCATCTTTGGAACTGGGGAAATGACTGCATTTCAGTAAAGAGATAGGAAACTCACTCCTAGGAATAAAGCCATTCACTGGCTTCAAGGAATCCAAAGCTTTCCTTGACCTTCATTCTTGAGCCAAACCTGTTCTTTCATGGACACCTGACATTTCTTATTACTGTCATTCAGGTGGTAGTCAGGGGTCTCATCCAGGACCAGGTGCTGGCTCTGCAGAGTGCTGACTGTTCCTCCAGCCTCTGCTGTTGTCATTCAGATTTCAGTTCAGATGTCACCTCCCCAGAACAGACTTCTGGTACCCTGAAAGGTAACCCTTGCAACTGTCAGAACCCTAGTTACTACCTTAGCACCCCATAGCACGTGTTAGTACCTGGAATCATACACTCATCCTCAGGTAGATCCTGTAGACCTGACTTATGAGGCTTCCAGGCCCAGGGGATTAGGCTGCACTGCTGAACAGTGAACCAGAAAGACAGGTGAGAGGCTGACTTTTTTGTTTGTTTGTTTGTTTGTTTGTTTGTTTTTTTAAAGCATTACTGAAATGTTCTCTGTATAACTGTGGACCTGTATGCTAGAACCTGGGACCATGGGACCGTGGCAGGGACGTAGCAGGTTGTAGAACACTGCAAGGCCACAGGATTACCTGTTATCCACAGCATCATGTTTTGGCTTTATTATTTATTTGTTTATGTTTTTCGAGATAGGGTTTCTTTTTGAAACAATCCTGGCTTGTTTTGCCTTTTTTTTTTTTTTTAGTTTTATTTATTATGTATACAGTGTTCTGTCTGCATGTATGCCGGCAGGCCAGAAGAGGGCACCAGATTTGATTACAGATGACTGTGAGCCACCAACTGGTTGCTGTGAATTGAACTGAGGATCTTTAGCAGAGGAGGCAGTGCTCTTTTTTATTTTATTTATTTATTTATTTATTTATTTATTTATTTATTTATTTATTTTGGTTTTTCGAGACAGGGTTTCTCTGCGGCTTTGGAGCCTGTCCTGGAACTAGCTCTGTAGACCAGGCTGGTCTCGAACTCACAGAGATCCGCCTGCCTCTGCCTCCCGAGTGCTGGGTTAAAGGCGTGCGCCACCATCGCCCGGCTGGAGGCAGTGCTCTTAATCAATGAGTATGTGCCACTACATCCCGCCTGGAGTGAAATTGTTTATGCTGATCTTCGTGCATGGTTTTGATTCGTGTATTTATTCCTAGAAGTAAAATTACAGGAAGAGAAGGTATGAATTATGTAAGATGGTACATGTTGATAAATTGTTTCCAGGTTGATAGATTACCTTGGGAAACTTGGTAATATTTAATAAATATGTCTTGAGATGTGGAAAAGTCACTATAACTGAAGGACTTATTAGTTTATTTATTTTGAAAAGGAAAGAATTGCTTATTTATTTACCTCCTCAAAATTAAGGCACTCATTTCTCCATCGGCTGCCACAGTCTGCTTGTCACTTGACTTCACTAATGGCTCTCATTTGCCTTTCCAGGCAGTATCAACTGCTAACACGCTCTCCTGTGGCCTTATCAGCAACAGGGGGCTTGTGAAAGACCACACCCAGGTAGCTATACACAGGCTGATTGAGGATTGCCTCATTCTTGTCCTCTGTCCCTTTCCCGCATTGCCTAGGATCAGTCTTTGAGATCTAACTAAGATCGGTTTCCTTGCTCTGTCCCCGTGTCTCTCATAAGGACTGCCAAGGACAATGAAAGTTCTCTTATTGAAAGATGCCAAGGATGATGAGAGTGGCCAGGATCCATATATCCAGGTGAGTGGCTGAGCCTTATTCCTTGGCCTCTAAACTAGAACTTCCTTGCTAATGGAGGTGGGGTTGGGATGCTAAAACTCAGCAAGCTTGATGCATACATAGCTAACGTGATGCCATGTTCCCTTATTTTCAGATAACACTTAATGTGATTTCATGACCTTTCTTCATTTTCAAGACAGCCCTGGCCAACCAAAAATGACATTCTTTCATTTGCAGGAATTGGGATTGTATGGCCTGGAAGCTACGCTAATTCCCGTTCTGTCATTTGAGTTTTTGTCTCTTCCCAGTTTGTCAGAAAAGGTAAGAGCCCCATGCTAGGGCTTGCCCTCTGTAGAAACCTTGTCAACCCAAGCCACAAGAGTGTTAGCCTCATTTTACCACTAGACATGAGCGCAAGGGCAGGACACACTCACCTGAGTGCTGGAGACTCCCCATTAGCTTCTCCCCCTGCGCCTCTATCTGCTTTGTCAGGAAGCTGTGGGCCCTGGAGATAGAGCCCCACCAGCATGTCTTTCAGAGTTAAGGCCCTTTTGGTCCATCACTGGCCTGTACACAGAAGACTCAGTAGATCTTTCCAATTTCAGAGCGAGCTCTGGTGTAGCAACTAAGCCAGGCACCTAGCCAGTAAGGAGGGCCAAATCCAAGCCCAAGGCTTCTGCCCACCACTTTGTTGTACTCAGTACTTGAGAGATACTGCAGGAGCCAGGCAGTGAAGCCTCCAAATGTTTTAGATTGATGGTGCCTGAGGATGTGCTGAGTATGGGCAATGCATGTTCAGTACCCAGTAATGCAAAAAACTAAGATGCGGTGCAGACACCTTGAGTGAAGTCAGGTGTACGCAGCAGCTCAGTGCCTGGCTCAGAAGTGTTAGGCAAAGTATTGTGTTTGAAGCCCAGGCTTCGGCTGGATTTTACCTCCTTGGTAGTCTAGCTGTGTTATGGATCCAGATCAAGTTTGCCATCCTGCCTGCATCTTCCTCCACTTAACCATCCCATGCTGGGTCAGGTTGCTGCTCTGTTCTGCTCATCTCCTGGGTTGCAGCTGTGTGTCTCTGCCCAAGAAGGAGCTTAAGGGAAGCGCCGTGACAATGAAGCAGTTTACCCAAAGCCCAGAATGGCTCCAGGCCCACAGTCAGCACTAGACAAGTGTCAGGTGGGTGGAGGGGTATCGAGATAGGATTAGATAGTTGCCCACTTCTTTGCGTATGCACTTGGACTCGGGCTCATAGTTCTTCAAGGGGCTGAGACTAAGCCAGCATCCTTTGGTCTTGGTGCAGCTGTCTCATCCTGAGGGCTTTGGAGGACTCATTTTCACCAGTCCCAGGGCAGTGGAAGCAGTGAAGCTGTGTCTGGAGAAGGACAATAAAACTGAAGGTGAGGGCGGGTCCGCTCTGGAGTCCACCAGACTCTTATTCTCGTTGCTGTTCTGAGACGCTGCAGTCCAGAGGTAGCTGCATTCCAACAGAACCGAGGCCAGGGCATGCCGGCTTACGGGTGCCCCTAGTCCCCACACAGACCTGACTGAGAGGTCCTCTCACTTGCCTTTTATTTATTTGTTTTGTTTTATCACTTTTACTATTATTAACTTCCTGCTTTACTGGGTACATGCTGTGGATATGTGTGTAGAGACCAGACGACAGTCCACAGGAGCGGCTTCTCTCCTTCCACCCCATGGGTCCCAGGGATCCGACTCAGCTCCTCAGGCTTGATGGCGATTGTCTTTACGTGCTGAACTCTATCTCATGAGCCCCTCAATTGCCTTTTAAATGTTCACTTGTGTGTTGTGCCAATTTCTGCCTCTGAAAGAGTAAAGTGATACTTTACTCAAGTGGGGAAATGCTTCATGGCCCTGCTACAACCTTCTCAACATGGCTGTTCCTTGTTCTCCATTACAGCAGTATATAGTGACCCAACCCATCTCCTGACGCCCAGGCTCCAGACTGAGTGCTAAATGTAGTCTGGAGGCATGCACAGTACTGTGACCTACTTCACGTACTGTCAAAACACAAGCATGGGGAGTTCTTCCAGTGGGGGAAGCAGTTGGGAGATGGTGAGTGCCGGGGCTTTGGAATTCTGTAGTCATGCAGCCGTCCTGGCGCTGTGAGCTCCTTGACCTCTCTTCCCCTTGGTGACCTGACCTTGGAGTAAGCTTCATAATACCCAAATCATGGGGTTACTCTACTCACCAGCTGGAACATGTCATATGTCTGCTCTCTGCCAGTGTCTTGAGCCGCAGGTTTTTGATGAACACTGCATAGTCTGGATCCCATAGAGAAGCATCCAGGACGTTTTCAGGGGCAGAGTGTAGTGAGGGAATGGGGCTGGTGGTGCTGTTACTGTTGTCTCCTTGCACAAGTAGCTGGCTTGCTTTGGAGACTAAGTGCTCAGTCTCCTACTAAAGTGAAGGCTGGGGCCTTAGAGTGAAGAAGCAAGCCACCTTAACAATATCCAGATGGCCACTTTGTATGTGTAGCTCACGCGTAATTCCGTATTTTGCAGACTGGGAAAAGTCTCTGAAAAGCAGATGGAATGCCAAGTCTGTGTATGTGGTTGGAAGTGCCACAGCTTCTCTAGGTAAGGAGTTGTGGGATGATGAAGGTTCGAATCCTAGGTGGGATGGGTGAGATTTCATCCTCAAACCGTGTACAGCCTGGAACCTATGAACTGCTTATTTCTGGAATTTTCCTTTAGTATTTTCAGGCCATAGTTGGCCAACAGTAGCTGAAGTGGAGGGAAATGAAATGGCAAAGCAAGGATAAGGGACCACACATGCCTCCTGTATTAAGAGCCAGTCTTATTAAGTCCTCCTGTCTCAATTCAGTTCCTGGGGACTTCAGGTTCCTTAGCTCAATTGTCCCTGGTAGCGTGGATCAGTAGTGCAGTGTAGGGACAGTTTTGGCCCTGAAGAGAGTTTACACCTTGCAGGAGGTTTCTCCCTTAGTCATAGTACATTCCTAATGCTCGAGGAATGAAAAGCTAATGGTGTTCCCATTGAAGCTGTCATTGGTGACAACGTAGGTACCAGTTGTATGGCCCCTAAATGCAATACCCACCATACAACTTTCTTCTGGAAGTCATGTGTTCCTCTGTGCAGGTAGCAATGCTGAGTGGGGCCCTGCCTTTGTCCACATCCTCTGGAGAAGGCAAGGAGCCTTCACTGTCTGCTTCTTGTTCTCTCCAAGGAGAGCTTTGTTGGATATGGTGGCAAATGCCTTTAATCCCACCCACCACCCCGGAGGCAGAGGCAAGAGGATCTCTGTGAGTTGGAGGCCAGACTAGCCTATATAGAGAGCTCCAGGACTACACTGAGAGAGTGGCTAGGATAGCATCCTCCCTAAGTTACCTGTGTCCATAGCAATATGGGTCCTTGTTGGTTGTTGTGAAACGTTTTCTCTGTGCCCTCCATTCTGGTCTGGCCATGTCAGCCCATTATCCCTTTCTGGAAGGGAGCTGCTCACATCTCCCTAATGAAATGAGGGCTCTTTAAAGAGATGCTTGCAAAACTTAGTAGTCCCCAAAAAAAAAAAAAAAAAAAAA